GACTTTGTTTCTTCGGGTTGTTTACACAACCTCGTATAGAAGGCTGCTAAGATTTGTAGTCAAGCGCCGAAAGCCCCCTGTGTCAGCAGAAGGAGGTCTACATTAGTCTATCATTGTCCTGGTGATCACCTAAGGGGAAGAGTGAACAAGTGCCATTTTAGATTGTCATGCACTGTTATTTATATAATATATGAAAACTATTTTGATTATGCGATAAGCACCAGCTGAGATGCAGTGAAATTATTCCGGAATTAAATCAGGCTTGATTACAGTCCAGTGTTTTTTGTCCAAGTTCATTTCAGGAAAAAATGGTTCCACCATACTTTCATCTGGTAATCTTACATGGTCTATACATGTAAAGTGTCTTTATAAAGGCTTGCACGTTGTTCTTTTACACTTACAGACTTGGGATTCTTGGTGCTTCCCATCGCGCACATGACATCTCATTTGCCACAATCCTCCTTAGTGAATTCACCGGGTTTAAAAGATAAAATGCTCAGTGTGTTTGTCTACTCTCTGAAACTTGTATCTATAGATCCTGTGGCGTGCAGCTCGTGATCATGTTGTTCCTTTTTCATTGTTCACACGCATTGCGATTCGTGGAATCGGTTTACCGAACGTCTAGTGGCTAATACAGATCACTGTTTACACAATTAAAGCTCTCCTTATGTAGTGAGGACACCGGCGTAGTCATTTTGAATTGAGCCTGAGTCATTTACATATCTCACTGGATCTTTCGGTTCATGATTGCTTTTTGTATTTTCCCTTTCTTGCAGGTCGTTTGGAAGCCTCATCCACGGATAACCTACTGTGAGAAGTGTGTCTACTACCTGTGTATCGAGAGCATCGGTGAGTGACCATGGATTATGCGACTTTTTTGGTAAAACGTTAATTGTATAAGAACTCGAACTGCGCTTCCCAGAATCAACTTACCAGCGTATTTAGGGTGGATTCTGAACTGGGGTCGGTCCGGCCTACTACATATTAGAATTGGACCGGTCATTTTGAACTGTGAGGTTCTGACGAAGCTGCATTTCCTTTGCGTTGCAGTCTATCCGATGATTGCCATAACAGTGAAGGATTGCCAACTCACAGGCGAAGAAGCAGGAGACAATTGAAAGCTCACAGCCGTTACGTACAATACAATTTCCTGATTCATTATGAGTCTTCTCGGATAGACTGTGGATGCCTGTAATACCTGATTCCCGGCCTCGGTTCCAATTCAAAATAATCCGTTTTTCGCTCTCTCTCTCTCTCTCTCCAAACACCCGAGACATCCACATATTCCATTAGCATTATCACCTATTCGGTGTGCATCTCAATGAGCCGCCTCACTTATTATTATTTTAACCCCACTAGTCCGCCGTTCGGGTTAGTTTAACCATTTGTTTTTGTCTTATTCAGCCTATCGTTCTGTTGCTCAACTGAAGAGCATAAAAGGTATTTCTTCACTTGATAAACAATATGCACACAGTATGATAATAAATTTTCTGATTCGAACAGTGCGTTGCAAAAGGTACTATATAAAAAATATAATTTCATTAAAAGAAAATTAAGCAGTACGCGGACATTTGTTTACATGTCCCATCCTTAATGAACAACGCACTTAAATGGAATTAAACGTTTATGTGAATTTTATTTTTTACTGGTGCATCAGTTGTTTTTTTTTGCTCAACATAAAAATCGAATAATTCGATTTAAAAATAAAATAAAATCACGTGGTTGAACAGGAACAAGTAAAAAAAGTCGATCCTAAACTCACCATCTGGACAGGGGAAATCGGTGCGTCTGCCCCGGTCCGCGTTCGTAACATCAGGTTCTCGTAGTTCTTCCGAATTGTCCGGCATCGATAGCATACAGTACCCAATTGTGGCTGAGGAGGGTGGTTGTCGCATAACCACACTGTCTGTGGGACGGCAAAGACCTTTGGATGCACCCAGAATAAGCTTGAATGGGAACGGCATCGGGAGCCAGTTGAAACCGGGCGGACATAGTGGTTCATCTACAATAAGGACCACGCTCCGCTCTGCAATGCACGAAAGGAAGAAAAAATGATAAACCGGGGACAAATGGAGGGAAAATAAAATCATCAGATGGTTTTATTTGACAGCAAACGCAAAGATCAGTCGAATTTAACACTGTGATTAAATTTGAATTACTTTGTCCGGTGTGGTTTCCGTTTGTTTCTATCTATCAAGAGAATAAAACGTTTTGTAGCCATTTGGTAAATCGATCGAGGGATCTAAAACCATTTGAGTTAGTGCGAGCTGAACAATCCCCCTCAGTCAAGTGACATGATGAGTTAAGTTGAAACTGTACTCGCCCGAACAGCGCTAACCGGGCCGGTGTGTGAGTCAGAGGACGACTGAAATACCCAATCAGCACGAGATCTTTTTGGGTAGACAAGTCCAAATGCGTTAGACACAATTTAGTATGTAATATGCTCCCTCATTCTGACTCATTTCAGTACTTGTGGTTCAGGCAGTGCGGATTAAGAACAGTTTTCATACTCAGTTTCAGTAACTACAGTTTTTTGAGGACATAATTCAGTGAACATATTGATCTAGCTGTCATAAACTTCAACCTGTTACCAGATATGAGATTTGTACTGGTTTTCAAATGTAAATCTCTCCCGCTCGGTGGTGGGACCTCACAGGATCTATCATCCCCAAGTGTGTGTGTGTGTGTGTACTAAAGCGTCCACACAATTATACTCAGTTGTTGCCCAGTACTATTTCCCCCAAACGAGGACACCAAGCAGATTGAAATCCTGTGGTAGGCGATTATGATGATCCATCGTGTTTCTCTCATTCCCTATAGAGTATTAGTCTGTAAGATGAACGCAGTGATTTATGCATCAAGTTTGTCAGCAACATGCTTTCCTATACTAGGTCCCGTTTCTCGTTCCACCCTCCTCTACTACTCCTTCCTACACAGGAACGGGAGCTACGATGTTCAGTGCATCATAATTCGCGTCACCGTATAGAAGAATTCTGCTGTTCCGTATTTAGTTCGTGTATTGCCACAACTAAAAAGAATATGGCTCCTAAACTGTCTGATACATGTAGTTTCCTACTTTGTGTTTTGTGCCATAAAAATACTCATTTCTTTTCAACTTTTAATTCCAGTTTGCAACATATCCAAACTGCCGGGTTTTGACTGAAATGTGAGCAGGTGATTAGCAAAACCCAGATCAAAGGAAACAGAATTACGCTGAACAACTTTCGGTCCTCATGTGGTGTGTGCACGACTGCACAACTGTTGGTTCTTTTGTGGTCTAGGTATTCGGATTATTTCCACCACTGTTAATTACACGTGGGACTACTCGAGTAGAAAAATAGCCTCATAGCGCACATTGAACATTCTTTCCGCATGTAATAGTGAATAGATCAGACACTTGGTTCCATATTGACCCTCCTGATATGTGCCTACAATATGGGTCAGTCTAAATCGAGTGAGTCCTAAAACGTATAAATATTAGTTGAGCTTATAAGATAATGTTTTCGGTAATGCTACCGAAAGTAAGTAAGAACAGTATCTGAAGGGATTAGCGATTACAAGATCATCTGAAGATGGAGATAGACGATGGGG